ATGTACGTGTACTGTATATATATGCATTGATACATATACAGATGTGTATGCATGCATACGTGTTTTCCAATCAGTTAGGTTTAAATCAATAGACAAAAGCATATAAATTACTGCCTAATTTTACCTCTTTTTCAAATAAACTGTAATCCATGATTAAATAAACTTCTTTGTCTTGATAAACAGGTAACAGTAATATTCGTTTATGACATTTTTTCATTGATAATGAGATGATTTTGATACTGTTATTATTATGATTACTATTACTATTCCCCTCTGTAGTTGTATTAGATGTCCATGGCACAAGTTGAAATCATAGGTTACAATGTTATGTAAACTGATAAAAAAGAAAATATTACAGACGTTTATTTATTTATTTATTTTTATTCGGTTAAATTAGCATGACCTACTAGTGTTTTGTGTATGTTTGGTTATTTAGGGTAGTTTGTGTTGGTTGGTAGATGGATGGATGTACGTATGCTCGTACACAGTGCACATATCTACTGTTTTATAGTGTAAATCTTTATGGTGTGTATATGTCTGCCGATAACTATTCACATACGCACAAGCACATAGAGAGCACAATCATATTCAAAGCAAAATGCAAAATCTACTTAGAATAGTAGTACAAACATGTCCGAATAGCCTATAAGCATTCAATATTAAAAGGAATCAGACAGAAAAAGATATGCTTAACAATTTAGGTTGCATTTTATTTTGTACTGTTGCATTTTATTGCATTTCATTATTTAACATTTACCCTCATTTGTTTGTTATGATTGTTCTTTCTTTAAGTAGTTAAAAATTCAAATAATAAATAAATGAATAATTTACATAATTTTTTTTGGTTTTGTTTATCAAATACAATTACAGTTTCATCATGTTTTGATTTACAATCAAAGTTGTGTAGGAAGGAATGAAATCGATTCTATTTTGAAGATTATGTGACAAGTTACCAATCATCAAAAATATGTCACCCATATCAATACATCTTTCTACAGGAAGTGTTGACTATCCTTATATATATTATATATATATATATATATATATATATATATATATATATATATATATATGCAATAATTTCTCAGTGTCTAAGTAATTTAAAATGTTTTTCAGAAAATATTTATTAAAATTGATCCAGGCAAGCAAAAAGAATTTTATAGAAAAAACGTTAGTAACTAATGAATCAATCTGTTAGTATCAATCACTGAGTATTAGATTTTCGCTTCATAAAGAACTAACCATTTTGTTTTTAAAAATGAAATGAAATTGAAAAATGTTCATCATTATTGTTATTTAGTAAAAGATTTCTTGAGTTGTACAGTTGTTAATCGTTTCAGAAAACATTCACCAATATACATAAACTATTATTTTAAATGAAAAAGTTTCTCCAAGACACTGTGAAATCAGAGATCACTTTTAAAATAAAAGATGACAGTTGAATTAGAGTATCAACAGTTCCTATATCTTGTTGACGAGTTCTAGTTTTTGATGATTTAGTCGTGGGGCTTTCATCGTTATTCTGAACGACATCATCAGCATAAACTTCAGGTAGAAGCTCCATGACTAAACTATCCAGTTCAGAGGATAAAACTCCATCAATATCATCCATCTGAGCTACAAATTTTCTCCACTATATCACAAGTTCTAGTCACAAACAAAACAACTGCTTGTAATTTTCCTAATTTCAAAATTGTTAAAAGGCTCTTGATTTTTTTTAATATAATGTTTCTGATAAGTCTACTAGTTGAACCCTCAACCGAATTTTTTAATCGCTTCTAATAGCCTCAGACTTAGTCTTCACGACCACTTGAACATGAGAGAAAAGGCGAGAATCGGAAAACCAAAGACTAGTAATAAAGATTCAATCGTCACACCAGAATAAAGTGAATTCATTTGAGCCAAATGGTGTAAATTACTTTATATGACACAGAAAAGTATTGATTCAGGTTTAGGATGATATAGAGGTAGAGATTAATTAAGGGAAGTACTGAAAGTTCAGGCACTGTTTACATGAATTCTTTATACAGTAAATATTTTAATAAAAGGAAACTTTAGAGCGATTAAGGAGACAAGAGGTTAACTAGATAACACGCAAATAAAGTTAAAATCTGAGTATTTAGAGGAAACGATACGGACTGCTTCATATCTGGGAAACAATTATATATTTTTAGTCAGTGAAGTAAAGTGTTTACTTACACACGACAATCCAAGAGCAAGCAAATTACCTCACACTGAACCTCACTACATATAATGATACTGGCATACGTTCACATTCAAACATAAAAATGTCGCTAATATCACTAAATGGATTATTTGACTTTGAGCTTCCTTGGGATCATCTAACGAGCAGGCACTGTGCACTCAATGTTGAGTCATTTATACTGATGGGCATATTACAAATTCGTCTCAATTTTTGATCTGGTCTAACATCTTAATAGAGCATTTAATCTGAAAAATATGGTGTATTTATATTATGTTTTTCGAACAATTTGATCATATATTAGTTTGTCAAGGCATTTATAAAAATTAATGAAAATCAATTAAATGGCTTCAGAATCACTTGGTATTAAATGCCGCGATAAAGTATGCAATAGAAAACTATGTTCATCGATAACAAATCATCTAATCAAAATGAGCCATAGGGTTGATAACAACAACGTCTTTAAAACGTTGTGTGAGGTTTGTTTAAGATGAATTCTTAAGCTTATTGAAGCCAGTGCTATTCAAAAATTCACACCTTTATATATACAGAAATAATTTGCCGTGACCTTGAATTTTTCCTTATAATCGTTAAAACACTTTTACAACCTAGCGTGGTGTTACGGCATCCTATTCTTCCTATAATATATTAGTCTTACTCTTCTTTAGCTAAAAACTTACAGTTTCATGGATATTTGAACTTAATTGATATTCATTAGTTTTTATAAATACCTTGACAAGTATATATGTGACCGCATTGTTCGAAATGTATAATCCAAATATATTACATTTTTCAAAGTAACTACCTCTTCTCATTGCTTATTCAAATTTTACGAAATAAAATATTGATCGGTCTAAATATAACATTAATTAATGCCCGGTAATTCAAGGTTTTGAATTCAACATTTGTAGTCTAATTGTAAATCCTTTCACATAACTACTGCGAAGATGAAACATTTTATTGACTGATAAATTTAAATAGCACTACTCTTAAATGCAATGTACAGTGCCATGTAACAACAGATAAACTGCCTTTCATACTTAATGAATCAGACCAATATTTACATCGACACAAACAGATGAACAAAAATCAAATGACAAAATACATTGGGGGGGTGTTATAATGAAAACTCGTCTTTTCATTTGTAAATATCTGTGACCAACAGGGGTATTTGAGATTGAAATTTGTTAATATTGTGATGTTTATTTGTGAAATATTGAAATTACAATGTTAAGCTCCAAGAGTTTTGATTCCTTCCCATGTTAGCTTGTTATATACAGTGATTTAGATTTTATCAGACAAAAGTAAATTTAGCAACCATAATTTGCAGATAGTGGATTCAAATAGTCTTATAAACATACAAGAAAACCAACGAGCATGAGGTAGGAGAAGCAAAATTTGTGGTGTACTATTCTGAAGAGGAATAGTGTTATTTGTTAACGAGTGAATTAGAGATCAAGACTTTCACGTTCTCCTTTTAGAACATCCTGAATTGAAAATAAGCATTGTACTGTATCATTATCTACATAATCTCTTGAACGCTTTACAGACTACTACAAAAGGTTGACACTTTATTTCACAAAATACGTACTCCTTTTGTTCAGAAAGCAATTATTTTTATTACTCGTTGACTTTTACACGTTGTTTTGAGAACAACTGAATAATTTATTGACTATTGAGTTATATCATCATAAGTGATGTAGCATCTGCTAACTAAGCGCAATATCGTGGATTGGTTGAAGTTGGACATTAGCATCGACGGATGTAGGCTTAGTGGCTGGAAGGTTAAGCGCTGTTGCGAGAACGAAGGTTCTGCGTTCGAGTCCCACGTGCGATATCGTGGATGAGCGCTGCGGAAGGGCCCTATGCCGTCGAGTGTTTTCAGATTTCCAATTTCAGTCTAACATTGATCGGTTCACGATTTCAATATTTCCACAAGGGTTGAAAGATATCTTAAATCAAGACATATTTGTCATAGATAATCTACAAATATTGTCTACCCTAATCATTCTTTAAAATATTGGCTGTGATTGTATTATTGTGATTTGAGTGAACTGCATGCTGAAATTCCATGTTGCTGATAATAGGTATGAGGAGAATACTGAACAATTTATTTACTGCTACTCTGTCTAGTTCATCTAACAAAAAATGTTCAGTTTTTTTTAAACAAATCAACATTTATCCGATCACTACAAAGCTAAACAAGGTTTCGCCTTAATATGTTAATAGTCTGCAACCACGAAGCAGTCATGAATATAAATTAGCTACTTCAGATATCGTAGTAAACACTTATCATTCAACCTTGGAATTAGATTGTATATATTTTTATCTACTATTGAATGGCCCAAAATGTACGATCATTATGTAATGCCAGTTGCAGTCAACTATCATATATGCAATATGATCAAACAACTAGTTACAACTTATCATTCCAACCTCGCGGATCTATCTGGAAGCCCATTATTCATGGGTAAAGGATTATAGATTCTTAGGGGTGTAATATATAGTAAACAAAATATCGGCGAAGTTGTATGCACGAACGGGGATTTTTAGCCCTATTGTAAAGACAATTTAATGCACATACTATTATTACTGAAACTGTTTTCATTTATCTTGAAATTATAAGAACCCGGAACCACTGGATAGCTACTTCCTTCATTTATTGAAAATAAGTCCCTTACTTTTGAAATTAAATCCAAAGCCATAGATTCGTGATGCGAGAAAATGATACCATAAATTAAAAAAATACAATTATTACTGGTATTATTACTAGTCTTATTATTATGGATAAACTCACCAGTCCAGTGTGTAGAAGTGCCAACAGATATTAATTTCCGAGTTTTACAAGGAGGACCAAGTTTGTGGGTTGGAATACCACGAGTGCATGCTTGTGTTTTTTGATTGATTCTTTTACTGGTTGAAATTTCACCGGATGATTGTTGACCTAAACTTAATTCTGATGAATCATCGTAATCTAGGTGGTTAATGTTGTTTGGTGAATCAGATGAGTGCATTGAGGAATCATTAATTGACTGATTGCTGTCCATTTTACGATGTTTAGAATGAGCTGAGAAAAAATTGACAATACGGGTGGCGATAGTTTTATGTTTCTTGGAATATTTCAAAACAGTAGTACTAGATGGTGGAGGCATAGATTCTTGTTCATTGCAATACTTTTCAGATTTCGGTTTCGTTGTGCTAACAACTAAAAGAAAATGTAAACAAGCAGACGGGAAACGGTTACTTTTAATTGCTTAATGTTTTATACATAATGTTTTAGAATTTTGTGTGGAGCTTGTAGTTTTTATCATCTATCTAAAAAATATTACCGTTAGGTATAGGTTTGGAAATTCATCCATGAACCTATGAAACTGAGGTCAGATTATCAAACTTAATGCCGACCGTATCACTTCGAAATACAGAGCCACAGGTTTATCGACTGAGCATATTAATTTTTATAATTATGAGAGTTAGGATTGTTGTGTTTGTATTTAGATTGGTCATCCAGAATTATACGGTTCTACGTTATTTTCACGATAACAAACGTTCCAAAAATAAAAATAACAGTGTTTTAACATCTGACAATTCTTCCATAAAAAGTTTTTAGTACCGGTCTTTTGATAAAACCATATGGATGGTGGTTAATGGTAGAATTCAGGACACTGGTTTTGTTCTATTTGGGTCTAGTCAGGTGAAGTTACCTGCATCATAGAGTTGACCACTGCGAAACTCCAACCCACCACTGTTCGCTTCAAACGCCACCCACTTAGTCACGATGTCCACATAGTCACCGGCTCGCGGAATGACATGGATTTTAGTTTATATATATATATATATATATATATATATGTTTAGGATCAAATATTTTTTGGCATACGTGCATCTTATGCTTATTGCATCGACATTGCCATTAATTCCCGAATAGGATGAAATGACTGTCCTGAGTTCCACTGCTAGTTACTACCCATCTCTGCCTAAAATGGTTGCAATATGAAGTCAATCTGCATAGGGTACACATATGCCAATAAGAGACTGATCAATGGCAGTCCTAAACTTCAATGGTAAGGTTCAAGCAACCAATAGATATGAATGATAAACATTTGCCAAGCCGTAAATCAAAATAAAACTCATAAAATATTTGGAATTTGCACAATAAATTAGAATTAGTTCTATTAGTTCTCAGATTGATTAACTTGAATCTGTAACTGGATCTTTTCATAGAGATTTAGCCATGACAAGAAATACTATGAAGTACATATGCTCTCAACCCTGAAAAACATCAAGTACAACGAACCATTTGGAAAAATAATTGTAAAATTATTTGAAACTTACTTTGGAGATCGTTTACAGATTCAGTATTTTTATGTTTCGATTTCCTAATGTGAAATAAATGTTTAGGACGTAATTTCTTAAGTGATAATGATGAAGATGATGATCCTGATTCTTGTCTTCTGTCATATGGATCATTATTATTTGATTCTAGAGAATCAGTTTCTGATTGAATGTTTTTATTTATGGGATTTCTTATTTCATTATCATTTTGATTATCATCTACATAGTCAATTTCTTCTTCTTGGTCAGTCACATTATCGAATTCTTCTTGTACACCCTCAAGTCCAGAATCTAAACATTCATAAGCTCTTGAGTTATTTCGCTGACTTGTACTCGTCTTCAAAAATGGATCCCAACGACTTTTCACTTTTTGATCATTATCTAATTCATTGTGATTAGTTATTTTACTATCATCTATATGTGATAGTTTTGAGGCATATAAAATTGAATCCAATTTTGTACCAGCAACCAAGTAATCGAAATGATGTTTCTTATTTAAACACGGTGCTAATCTTAATGGTAATTGACGTGATCTAATTGATTCCGATAAATTTTCTAATGAATCATGTAAACGTGAACGATCTTCAGGATTGTTTTGAACATCAAGTAAATTAGCTGAATGACTATTAAATGCAGTTTTTTGTTTCGATATATTTTCTACTTTTATTTGGAATTTTTCTAAAATTAAAATTGAAACAAGATAAACTTGAAATTTTACTGAATATTAGATTCCCCATCAAGTATATGAGAATATTTCAAAATGATCACTTCATTAGGTATTTGTAAATGAAAGAAGCATCTTTTTATAATTTCTAAAAATTAATCAACTTGTAAGATAATGTAAACACTTAAAATGCAATTTGAGTAAAGTTTATCAAATAATCATCTAAAAAGTATAATGTCAATACCTTCATAAATATAAATGTACGAGTGTTTTTTGTTAAAACAAAAAAGGAAAATGAGTTGGTGATTAAAGTACTTGAACTCCAATCATTGAGTTACAATCTTATGCTACCAGTTAGTTTTCAAAATTAAAATGTCACTTTTAACTGAACGTTAAAACCACAATAATTTATATTCATCCCTTATATTAATTACGGTTATATCGAATTAAGTATTTTATTTAAACACTAACTATTCCATGTGTGTACAACATAAATTTAACGAGTTTGTAAAATAAATTCGGATGTACCTAACATAGAATGATACTTAGATAAGATGTACATACTGCACAGAAGCTTATACAACTTGCACAATAAATAATTGTGTTTTAGTAAAAATAAAAGCAAAAAAACAAACATCTCGGAAATCCTTGTTTAATGAATGAAAAGTTTGTGTTGCATATTCTTCACTTTCACGTAAATTAGAGTGAAAACAAAAATATTTTAATGATGACATGGTTGAAAACCATAGACATATAGAATCGATTCACATTATCACATTGTAATATTTGTAATATTGTATATTTACTGTCTAAAACAACACATTGTTCAGTCATACAAAAATAAGTATTCTTACTTATTTATTTGATAAACAATCAAATTATCTTCTGGATGGATGAAACTTTATTAACAGTAAAAATATGTAAGTTGGAAGTACAAAATACACTCACCTATGACATAGGATGAACACTCTACATCATAAACTAGAAATGCGAACTATTCAATTTTAATTTTAATGGTAATGAGGAGTAACAAACACCTTGAGACTTGCAAATTCTCGGGTTAGATCGCGAGAGAATACATAGTTGTAGTTTAAAAAAAAATAACTATATCGATTTATCCTACTTTCCAGTTGTTCTGCTGATGACTTTAGTCTATGGTAAAAATTACACTTAACTCCGCCTGGAGCCCCTTTCTGGGGGCTACTGCCGGTCCCAAGCCCGGATAAAGGAGGAGGGTTGGGCATGGGGTTAGCGACCCCATCCCGTAGAAAACTAACTCGCTAAAAAAACGCTAACCAGAAAAAATTATTCAAACCATTTAAACTCTGCCCTGGGAGTCAGAAGGTCTTCGTTTAGAAGAATTATGACGCCTCATGATGAAAGCCGAGTTCCTTCGGAAGTCACGAGGCCGATGCCCCTTCTGACAACCAGAGCAACCATTTATTTAGGTACATGGAATGCTCGCACAATGTGGGAGACTGGGAGAGTTTTCCAAATTGCTGCAGAAATGAGGAGATACAATTTAGAGGTGCTTGGGATCAGTGAAACACATTGGACGCAAGTTGGACAACAACGACTAGCTTCAGGGGAGCTGCTGTTATACTCCGGACATGAACAAGAAAATGCTCCACATACACAAAGAGTTGCATTGATGCTGTCCAAACAAGCACAAAATGCACTTATAGGATGGGAATCTCATGGACCAAGGATCATCAAAGCCTCCTTCAAAACAAACAAAGAGAGCATTTCAATGAATGTCATCCAATGCTACGCGCCTACCAACGACTACAATGAAGACGCTAAAGATCAATTCTACGATAGGCTGCAGTCAATCTTCGAGAAGTGCCCAACAAAGGACCTGACTATTCTGGTGAGAGATTTAAATGCCAAGGTTGGAATGGACAACACCGGATATGAAGAGATCATGGAACGACACGGACTGGGAGAAAGGAACGAAAATGGTGAGAGATTTGCAAATCTATGTGCCTTCAATAAACTGGTCATAGGCAGCACTATATTCCCACATAAACGCATACACAAAACCACATGGACTTCACCGGATCACACCACACAGAACCAAATCGACCATATCTGCATCAACAAAAAGTTCAGGAGGACGATGGAGGACATGAGAACAAAGAGAGGAGCTGATATAGCATCAGATCATCACTTGCTGGTCGCCAAGATGAAATTGAAACTCAAGAGGCACTGGACAACGGGGAGGACAATATCACAAAAATTTAATATGGCTCTTCTTCGGGAGACTGACAAACTCAATAAATTCAAGATAACCCTCAGCAATAAGTTCCAAGCCTTTCATGATCTACTCAATGAAGAAGAAACTACTATGGAGAGCAACTGGAAAGAGATAAAAGAGGCAATCATTTCAACATGTCATGAGGTTCTGGGCCAAAAGAAGCACCATCACAAGGATTGGATCACGGTCGATACACTGGATAAGATTCAAGAAAGGAGGAACAAGAAAGCAGAAATCAATACCAGTCGAACAAGAGCAGAAAAAGTCAAGGCACAGGCTGAATACACAGAAGTAAACAAGCAAGTGAAAAGGAGCATCAGAACTGACAAACGTAAATATGTGGAAGATTTGGCATTGACGGCGGAAAAGGCTGCCAGAGAAGGAAACATGAGACAACTGTATGAAACAACAAAGAAACTCTCTGGAAATCACCGTAAACCAGAACGACCAGTGAAAAACAAGGAAGGCAAGATAATCACCAACATTGAAGAACAACGAAACAGGTGGGTAGAACACTTCAAAGAACTCTTGAATCGACCAGCCTCACTGAACCCACCAAACATCGAAGCAGCACTCACGGACCTCCCAATTGATGTTGGCGCACCGACAATTGAAGAAATCAGCATGGCTATCAGACAAATCAAGAGTGGCAAAGCAGCAGGACTAGACAGCATTCCAGCAGAGGCACTGAAAGCAGACGTAGTGGTAACTGCAAGGATACTCCACATTCTCTTCAGAAAGATTTGGGATGAGGAATAGGTGCCAAAAGACTGGAAAGAAGGACTTCTAGTCAAAATACCAAAGAAAGGCGATCTCAGCAACTGTGACAACTACAGGGGAATCACTCTTCTTTCAATACCAGGAAAAGTCTTCAACAGGGTATTGTTGAACAGGATGAAGGACTCCGTAGACGCCCAACTTCGAGACCAACAGGCAGGATTCCGTAAGGATAGATCGTGCACAGACCAAATCGCAACTCTACGGATCATTGCGGAACAATCAATTGAATGGAATTCATCACTCTATATCAACTTCATCGACTACGAAAAAGCATTTGATAGCGTGGACAGAACAACCCTATGGAAGCTTCTTCGACACTACGGCGTGCCTCAGAAGATAGTCAATATCGTACAGAATTCCTATGATGGGTTAAACTGCAAAATCGTGCATGGAGGACAGTTGACAAAGTCGTTCAAGTAAAGACCGGTGTCAGGCAAGGTTGCTTACTTTTTGATGGAGTTTTGTTCTCTGAGCTGGATGGTTTGGTCGTGGAGCTTTCATCGTTCTTCTGAACGACATTATCAGCACAAACTTCAGATAGAAGTGAAGTGTTCGAATTTCTCCATATGCGTTTCACAGCTTGTTCTGTGCACCTCGATGTTGATTGGTTCTTATTGACATCGAGGTGCACAGAACAAGCTGTGAAACGCATATGGAGAAATTCGAACACTTCACTTCTATCTGGAGTTTGTGCTGATGATGTCGTTCAGAAGAACGATGAAAGCTCCACGACCAAACCATCCAGCTCAGAGAACAAAACTCCATCAAAATCATCCACCTGAGCTACAAATCTTCTCCACCATCTCAAGGTTGCTTACTCTCACCCTTTCTCTTTCTCCTGGTGATCGACTGGATCATGAAGACATCAACATCTGAAGGGAAGCACGGGATACAGTGGATAGCTAGGATGCAATTGGATGATCTAGACTCCGCAGATGATCTGGCTCTTCTATCGCATACGCAACAACAAATGCAGGAGAAGACAACCAGTGTAGCTGCAGCCTCAGCAGCAATAGGTCTCAATATACACAAAGGGAAAAGCAAGATTCTTCGATACAACACAGCATGTACCAATCCAATCACAATTGACGGAGAAGCTTTGGAAGATGTAAAAACCTTTACATATTTGGGCAGTATCATCGATGAACACGGTGGATCTGATGCAGATGTGAAAGCGCGGATTGGCAAAGCAAGAGCAGCATATTTACAACTGAAGAACATCTGGAACTCAAAACAATTAGCAACCAACATCAAAGTCAGAATTTTCAATACAAATGTCAAGACAGTTCTACTGTATGGGGCGGAAACCTGGAAAACTACGAAATCCATCGTCCAAAAGATACAGCTGTTTATTAACAGTTGTCTACGCAAAATACTTCAGATCCGCTGGCCGGACACTATAAGCAACAACCTACTGTGGGAGAGAACAAACCAGATCCCAGTGGAGGAAGAAATCAGGAAGAAGCGCTGGAAGTGGATAGGACACACATTGAGGAAAACACCGAACTGAGTCACAAGACAAGCTCTCATATGGAATCCTCAAGGTCGAAGGAGGAGAGGAAGACCAAAGAATACATTACGCCGGGAAATGGAGATAGATATGAGAAAAATGAACAAGAATTGGATGGAACTAGAAAAGAAGGCCCAGGACAGAGTGGGTTGGAGAATGCTGGTCGTCGGCCTATGCTCCATTGGGAGTAACAGGCGTAAGTAAGTAAGTAAGTAAGTAAAAATTACACTTAAACTACGGAAAATCTACACAGAACCATATAACTTAGAAAAGAAATAACCCAAACTATTATTTAGTAGGCGTGTTTTTGTTTCAAATAAAATGTTTTCCCACGATTTTGATAGATGTCTTTTTGGCACGTCAAATTATTTCTTAAGAAACTTTATGTAGGCTAAATTTATCCCATAATCTCTTCGCTTAGATTATTTGCTTGATATGTAAGAGGGTAATAGCTGGAACATAACGAA